CATTTCTCATGCATGACTAATACGTTTCACAGTCTTGATTCTGTGAATGACTTTTATATTATATTTACCTCATGACAATATTTACTACTGCTGCTTTCCACATTGCTCTAGAGCTCAGCACTCTTACTGTGCATTAGCAACAAACTGAAAATAATTTTATTTCAAATGCAACATATGCGCATTTGTTAACCCTTAACCTAAACACATCATCCTTATAAACCCTTCATAAATCCATTCAAAATGTATTTTTTTTTATACATCAATACTTCTGCGGTGCTCTGGCAGCACATTCAGCTTTCATTTATCAATAATTATTTTATAACAGCTCCATCCACTGATTATTATCCTATGACAATGTTCCTGAGTTCTCAATTTCAATTAGTTAGAAAGGGTTGATTAATTAAAAATGCTTATTTAGCATTTTTGGAAGGAGTCTACAGTGTCGCAGAAAACACGACAAGCTGCGATTTTTGCAATTTGAACTTCAAGAGAGCGAGAGAGAGAGCGAGAGAGAGAGAAAAAAGAGAGCCTGGAGAGGCTCTCTTGACTGTGAATAGCTACTATAACATAAGGCATAAGAGGAATTTGTTCCACGACATAAAATTTAACTATAAACAGATTTTTTTTAAAAAAATACAACGTTAGCACCGGCAAACTGCTGTGGTATAAGAGGAACGAAACACTTCAGGATATATATTATTATAAGAAAGTAATAAATTGGTGATTAGTTTCCGCTAACAGCACATCCCATCTTTATCTGTCACCTAGTCGACTGTTCCATTATCAGTCACGGGTTAACAGGACTTCACAAGCGAGCTTCTTCCAAGGCCTGTGTTAGCTCACTGGTTAGGAATCTGTGTCTGTGACTAGAAGATTGTGAGCTCAGGTCCCAGGACTGGAGGTGTTTGACAGGTGTGAGGCTTCAGCCAGATGTTTAACAGCACCACTGCCCTGTCTTACAATGGCTGGAACTCCTAACGGCAGTGCTACTTCTATTGAACTTGACTAGGTTTCATTTATTCTCATAATAATTCTGAATTTACCTTTACCTTAAATCTTAAGAGATCTCCTCCTTGCTATTTCTCCCAGATGTTTATAAGAGAAGTAGGGGTGGGTGATACGAGTACGATTCATAATACGATTCTTAAAGGCATTTCTACAACACACGATATGAATCACAATATATTTTATGTTTTTCAAAAAAATAAAATAAAAAAATCTTCAAGAAAAACAGTAGTTCTTTTCTAAATAGAAAAAAAAAACCTTTTTTTAATAATGCTTTATTTAATGTCTATAAAAATAAATGCCTTTTTTATATTTGCAAAAAAAAACCCTAATAATATTTAAATAAATAATATTTAAAACTGAAAAGAAAAACTAATTGTAAATGTATTCACATTTTACAGATTTTAAAGATTAAGGTACAATTTTTAACAAAAGTTTGTAATTTAAAAAAAAAAGTTATACAAAAATAAATCACGATATCCGCAATATCGCAACAATAGACTTAGAACTGCTAAGTCTACCGAGGACTCAAAGAGCAACCTACAAGCAGCAGATTTTCCTCTGGGAAGACTGTACGCTTTCCATGTAATCTGAAGCGCATAATTTAAGTTCTATATTTAAATGAAGGTGACTGTTATTTTATTTCACGTAATGAACATTCTGAGAAATTTGGTTTACTATGTAGCGTAAGAGCGCTAATACAATTACCCAAGCTCTAAGAAAAGCGAAATGTGATTTTCTGCCCAGCTGGGACAGACTTCCTACCCTGTCTTCATCATTTCACTTGTCAATACTTGCAAATAAATTCTTCTGTAGCTTATTGACTGATGACTTGCCTGGCGGGAAGCACGTTCGCACAACTGGCACCTCCACCGAGGCCCATGAAGCAGGTGTGTAAGAGACAGGAAGAGGAAAATTCTGCTGCAGTAGATGCCATCCCACTTCATCAGAGCGTTTTACCGTTAAAGGCTTATCGATTCGAGAACCTCATTAGGGCCTCTTTTTCTGACAGGTCCGTATGAATCAGCAACCGTGACGTAGCTTAATAATTCGTTCCAAGCTGCCCTTGCTCCACTCTGCTTGTTTCAGCAATTCGATCCATCAAGCAAGGGATTATGGGAGAGGCAGGAAAGATCCATCTCCATCATTACAATGGAGAGTCGAGTTACTGGTGTCATTGAGACATTGAGAGCTATAAAGTCCAATTTGGAAAGAATCTGATATGAAGAGCATATACTTATTGGTTGCCATCTTCCTGTCGGTGACGTGAGTCAACACTTTCCTGCCTACCTTTCTCCTTCGTTTTCACTCATCAGCTGAGTGACCTCAGGAACAATGGCGCATTTACAAATCACTTCCCCGTGTGAAACAGGAGGACATTAATATGTCTAGCGACGCATGATATAGACAAAATATTAAAATATTATTGCACCCTGTTACTACAGTATGGCAAAACATCAACACTTTATATAGCTGAGTATGCTTCCACAAATACCTGCGCTTTCACATTACACTTGCACATTCAAGGATTCATTATCTAATCTGTCAATCATGTTGCAGCATCACGATGTGTAAAATCATGCAGATACAGGTCAAGAAACACATCACCTTGTTGCTATTGTGAGCCTGTGCCCACTGTAGCCTCAGACTCCTGTTCTTGGCTGACAGAAGTGGAACCCGATGTGATCATCTGCTGTTGTAGCTAAAGGTTCTACATGTTGTGTGGCCCGAGTTGCTTTTCTGCACGCCATGGCTGTAAAGAGTAGTTATTTGTCTTCGCTGCTCACTGGATGTTTCTTGCACCGTTCTGTTTAAACTCTAGAGACAGTTGTGCATGAAAATCCCAGGAGATCAGCAACATCTTGCACCTGCAACCATGCCACGATCAAAGTCACTGAGATGGCATATTTTGCCCATTCTGATCTTTGGTGTGGACGAAGCTCTTGACCTGCATCTGCATGATTTTTATGCATTGCGCTGCTGCAACATGATTGGCTGATTGGCTAATTGCACAAATGAGCAGGTATGCAGGTGTTCCTATTAAAGTGAGTGTATGTTTCTTTGTGACATTGCAGTTTTACAGATAGTGAGAAGTGCAGAACTGGAACTGCGGAAGTGCTGCTTTAACAAGGCCACAGGCAGCTAGTCATCCATATCTGCAAGCGACTATAAACCGTGCTCGTGCTACACTCGAGACTGGGGGCCCCTTTTATTAGAGCACTTTAGCAGACCTAGAAAATTCGCAAAAGGTTAAATAAGGCGTTTTTTTTTTCCCTTGCCATTTGCTTCCTGAGACCACAAGAAGAAAAAAATCAGCAGCCTCAGTTAATCCAAAGAGACTTGCAGGCCACGGAAAAAGTACAGAATCCAGGAAGAAAGTGCTCAAGTTTGGCTTAAACAATTTACAGCACCAGTGACTGATATGAAACAGAAAGAGACAAACCCTTAAAGCAACAGATCTGGAACTCTGTGGGAATGCACAATTTTGACAGTGAGCTCGCAACTTTCGACTGGCCGCTTTCACAACTGCTTAATAATCGGTGCCATTCTCACAGCAGAAGATTGGGCAAGCCACGCTTAAGACGTCCTTCACTCCCACGGTGAAGAATCTGGTTCTGATTAATAACACTTGGCTGATGCACTTTCTCAGCAGAAGCCAGAGAATCAGCATAGTTTCACAATTGTAAATCCTTAAAAAGTTGTACAATCCGTCTTGTATGAAATGTTAGGCAGTTAAGGGCGGGATGAGGAACGGAGTCAGCGTTCTGAGCTTTTCTTCCAGTAAGTTAAGGCAGATGAAACCACTCTGGCTTCTAAGATACTTGCAAATTGTGTGCAAGATCAATTTCAGACAGAAAAAAAAGGGCTGGTGAACCTATACCTAAAGACTAAAGAAAGAGACTTGCCACTAAATCTAGCTCACCCTTAAATTTCTGAAAAATTTGTGATTTATCATGCTGCATCCAAATTACATCCTCCGAGAGTGACTTCTAAGGTAGCCAAGAAACAAGCACCTTATTATCTCAGCAATTAACATTCTGGGATAATAGTCGAAAAACTGCTAGTTTAAACACCAGGGCCTCAAGTGAATGCTTAAAGAACCCTGAAATTTAAATAGTCATTTTAGAGCTTCTTGTGCCTGTCCCTTAGTGTTATGGACACAAATTTGATACCATATCTGGAAAAAAAATCGTTTTGGATGTATCCCTGTTTTAATCGTACAGATCGTCACTTCCAGGAAACAATCAAACATTTTATAAGAAGATAATTCATCAAAACTGTCTAGTCAAAACTGATTGTCCAATCAAATGCTCTCTAGAACGTATATGCCCTGCCCCTTGAGACGATCTTGCTCTACAGTAGTAGCTTGTTAGACGTACACATGGGCCACATGTTGCTAATTCTCATTAATTTCTTTGCTGTTCTCTATATTCAGATACACTATATGGTGTATGTGAACACCTGACCATCACACCCATATGTGGTTCTTCCACAAACTGTTGCCACAAAGTTGGATGCACAAAAATTGGATGCACACAATTGTATAGGATGTCTTTGTATGCTATAGTTTTACAATTTCTCTTTACAGAAACTAAGAGGCCCAAACATATTGGGCATTACAGTGGCCCTGTGCACAAAGCGAGCTCCATGAAGACATGGTTTGCCAAGGTTGGAGTGGAAGAACTCGAGTGTCCTGCAGAGAGCCCTGACCTCAACCCCACTGAACACCTTTGGGATGAACTGGAACGCCGGATGAACCTCAGGCCTCCTCGTCCGAAATCAGTGCCTGACCTCACGAATGCTTTTGTGGCTGAATGAGCACAAATTCCCACAGCCACGCTCTAATATCTAGTGGAAAGCCTTCCCAGAAGAGTGGAGATTATTATAACAGCAAAGGGGGCTAAATCTGGAACGAGATGTTCAAAAATCACATATGTTTGTGATGTTTAGGTGTCTAAACTTTTGGTCATATAGTGTTATCATCAGGTTTAGGGTCCCTGGAGGACTAGTGGTTAGGCCACAGTGCTCCCGCCGCTGCGGCCCGGGGTCGATTCCCGGCCAGGGAACCGGAATCAGTCCCAGCCACTGGGTTTATGTGTAACAGCGCACTCTCAGTGTCGGTCCCAAGCCCGAGGGAGGGTTGCATCAGGACAGGCATCCAGCATAAAAACTATGCCAAAATCAAAATACACGGACCAATGATCCACTTTGGCGGCCCTAACGGGATGAGCCGAGAGAGAGTGCCATCATCAGTTTTGTTTAGATACAGCAGAGGCGTAGCATATCTCAAACGTTATTGGCCATTGTGCCAGTCAAGTCAGTCAAGCACCTCCACACGCCCCCATTTCATGGGGATTTTAAGCTACACCATCAGCTATACACTTGTATCGCATCCTCTCCAATGCAAGCTGAGAGTATGCATTAAAAATGAAAATGCAAATGAAATTAGGCTTTTTGGAAGGCCCGTGGTACTGCTCATCTTGTTCAGATTAAATCCTCAGCATCTCGCAGTGATGGCCACAGGGTTACCTCTAGAACTAATCCGCTGAGGACCGTTGCCTCCTCGCTCCATCTTATAAGTAGCCCTGATGTCTAAATGAAGATGTTTTGAAGTCAGCGACAGACACAAATTCATTAATCACCCACAGATACTCCCACTGTCATGTCTGACAAGGCTGAGGAAGTGTGTTTGCAGGAGAGGCCGACATATAAATCATTCAACTTACCACAGCAGGTCAGGGGAAAGAAAGTAATAGGGAAAAAGCAGGGACTGGACTTGGGGGTCCTGTTCCATGTCAGGGACATGTGCATATGAATTAATAAGGAACAGGGCTCATGCTCGGGTATTAATGAAGAGCACAAAGCATGCGAGGCGATCAAGGGCTCTGGAAGATTTGAACTGTATGACTCAGTAATTGAGCTTGTGCAATCAATACATGCTCCTTTTCCCCCTTGTCTTCTCCAAGACCAAACAGTTCATATTCAAATTCTCTCCCCTTGCTGTCCTGTAATTCTGTTCGACACAATTCTGAGCAATGCCTTTCCCACTGTGATCATCGGGAGCACCTTATTGACATTAGTGAATTTTCTTTAGGGGATTATGGTGGAATTAATGTCCAGTAATCCCCGCAGAATCTTTTGATTCGTCCTGATTTACAAAACACAAAGTGAAGTACAAAGTGTGTTTCCTATTTGCGGATCAAAGTTACAATTATAAAAGCTGCTCAAAACATTTTCCGTTTTTACCAGAGGACAGAAAAGACCAGATGACAAGATGCCATCTTGTTGGCATTACAGATTTCCATGTTTCTTTTCCTATATATTTTTTTTAAATAATGATTGACAAGTGTGTGTAGTGTTTCAAGTTACATCTCCTATACTACTTCCACATACACTCACCATCAAGTGGCAGCAGCATAATGCATAAAGTAATGCAGACACAAGTGAAGACCTTCAGTTACTGTTCATATCAAACCTAAGAATGAGGGGAAAAATGTGATCTCTGTGACTTTGTCTGCAGCACGGTTGATGGTGCCTGACAGGCTGGTTTGGGTATTTCAGAAACTGCAGCAAAACTGCAAAACTGTCTGTAGAATTTACAGAGAATGGGACAAAATGCAAAAAAAAAAAAAAAAAAAACATCCAGTGAGTGGCAGTTCTGCGGCCCTGTTGACGAAAGGGGTCAGAGAAGAACGGCGTGACTGGTTCAAGCCGACAGGAAGGCTACAGTAACTCAAACAACCACTCTGTACAACCGTGGCGAGCAGAAAAGCATCTCGGAACAGCAGAAGACCACGTCAGGTTCCACTCCTGTCAGCTAAGATCAGGAATCTGAGGTTACAGTGGGCACAGGCTCACCAAAATCTCCTGATCTTTCTCAAACCTTGACCTGCATCTGCATGATTTCATGCACTGGGCTGCTCAGTGGATAACTGCACGAATGTACAGATCTTCGTAACGAAGTGGACGGTGAGTGTATGTGTGAACAATGACAAACAATTACAGTTTGTGTCCTTAGATAGTTACTTCTGATATTTCACTAATTTGAGTCTTCAAACCATCTGTAGTCCAAGGCACCATCACTTGCCTTGACGTCTATGATTAAAGAAGTTGTGACTTTTTTTTTTTTTTTTTTTTTGAGTTATTTCGTAGTTATAGTGAACTATATTATTAAACGTGCCAACCATGTTGTGACTGTAATGAAAACTGAAGCAGCATTGTGCTGAATCATGCTCATGCATATCACGGATGTAGCAAAGCAGCTGAACATTGTATAGAAAGTTCCCACACTAGTGAGACAGTGAGATGCGGCTACCTTCTCATTACCTGCTGTACAGTGTTCAGAAAACTGTCATATTGTCTCTACATGAACAACAACAGCATAACCATATCCCACAAAATTGCTGAGCACTTCAAACTCAGTCCACCAAAAGCTTCAGGAATTTTTACGGTCAAATTCGCGCAAATAAAAAAACAAAAAAAAAAACGCAATAATATAGGTAGTCCCACTTATATAACTGTGTAGGCGTATTTATAGCCCGGATTGTATCAAATGAAACAAATACAACACTTGTTGCACACATTTGTTATGATGCTCTAAAAAAGCATGAGGTTAATAAACTTAATCGTTGGCAAATTGTATAAAACACATGATGTGCTGTTATAGGAAAACAATCCACTTATTAATTGGTGCCTTATCACTTCACCAATCATGAATTACTTTCCCATAAAAGCACACGCCATCTTGTTTTAGTCCTTACTCATGTCCATGCAACTGCCCTGTGCTCTCACTTTCACAATGCTTTACTGCATAGTTTTCATTCTCTTCAGGGAACAAAACTGAGAGAATATATGAGTGCGTGTGTGCTTTTTTTTTTTTTTCCCCCTCCACAAACCAAAGTTGTATGTCTTAGCAAACCATGTGGACTTTCATTGAAGCAAAACTCAGAACAACAGACCAAGAAAATGTTCACGTATTATTGTTGCCCTTAGAGGCACAGACAGGCACAGATGCTGGGAAATGGTAAGCGAGTAACTTTAAGTAAATATTTTATGGGGAGAAAGACAAGCCAGTACATAAAGTGAGAACAGCACAATTACAGTTCATTCTGCTAAAAAAAACAAACAAACAAAAAAAAACACTTGGTTACGAGAACTCGGATCTCTTTATCAAAAGTACAAGTCATTAAGAATTGCACCATTCTGAGGTCATGGACAATAAGCTGTGGTAAGAGCTTGCTTTTTTTCTCACACGTTTCACTTCGTTCTTCTCCAAAGTGCTAAAAAAAAAAAAAAGAGAAGAGGCAGTACAGAATTTTCTAATCCATCTCCATCCAATCTGGCCTGCTCCAATGTGCTGATTCGGGTTCTTTATCTGGCTCCAAGCTGTCAATACCGCTTTCTGAAGTGATCAGTGCAATGATGCTAGCGGATTGATCCTGTTTTTCTGGAGCTACAAAGCCTGTTAGAAACAACAGAAAAGCTGAGGAGAGTTGGTCATATCTGCTCCTCTGTCAGTCCTTCAGCAGATCTCAGAGTCTCAAAGTGAGCTTTAGAAAAGCTGGCTTAGCTGGACAGACATGGCTTCCCTACTTTAGTGGCTTCACTGATGTAAACATGGCAACGTATCTCAAAACTGTATGCATGTTCACTCAGATTTATCTGGACGGGTAAAGAGCATGTGGGAGTGATGGTTGTGAAAATGTCTGACATGTCTAGTACGTTTTCAAGTTTATGTCTCCATTTCCAGGGTGATTCGATGACTGTGGTGCCGTAAAGCCTTTGAATCTCTTAAATATTAAACATTTTTTTGAATCATTGTGCAACACTGAATCTAAGAAAACATGCATTTCAAAAAAAAAACAACTCATTTTTTAAGGTCTCTTTCCTGACAATGGGCCTCATTTATCAGTCTAAAGTTCTAAAAGATCTTACTAAACTTCTGTGTAAATGTTTGTGCAAGCCAAACCGAACAAAAAGATTTCTGCCGGATTTACAAAAAATTTCAGAAAGGCTGATTTTCTATGTACTCGCGTGTGTGTGGTGGTCACGCGTACCGTGCAACACGGGTTCCTGACATCCCCGTTTGCGTTTAGTGACGCACACAAAACTCCATAAAAGTTCAAATGCACAGACGGTGGGGAAATGGACGATCAGGATAAAAACGGATAAACAGAAGTGGAGGTTATTTTGACTCGACGCCATTTAAAAATATTTAATAATATGTAATATTAATGATGATAATAAGCAAGCGCTAAATCTTCGGTCAGCTGAGGTGTCCGTTTCCGGCTACTTCTACGCACACACAGACGAGAATATCCTCTGTTTATACGCCACTATATCTTTTGTCATGATTGAATGTTTTGTTTTATTTGTCTTAATTTAATTTTGTGTTTCTTTCTTTTTTTCCCATGTTCTTTAATTAATGGTAATAATATAAAATGACTGGCTTTCATAAGACGTTCTCAACGTTATTCTTAGCACCTGTTCTAGTGAACTAGCGTGAGGATGTGTTTTTGAGACTACAAAGCTCTTCTAGAAGTCACTTTGGATAAGGGCATCTGCTTATCCATGCTATAAACATGATTTAAAAAAAACTCCACAGTATAATCCAGATATAAAAGTGCAGTAATCCATGCAAATTATATGATTAGAAGTCGATCAAGTTGAGGTCTACATTAGTTAGTCGTCTTATGAGTAGATTTATGTACGCTCGGGAGCACGAGCAGGATACGAACGTTTTTCGGAATTTATGACATTTTCCCGAATACCAGATTTCTTGTGTAGACGCTCCTACGAATGATTAATGAATAAATCCATTCATATCCAGCTTGATAAATGAAGCCCACTGGCTGCATTATGCTCTTAGGGTTACGAGTAATGAATAATGAGCTGAAAGAAAGAAAATGCATAAAGTTAGGTTAAGTAGCATCCACACTAATGATCTGAGGACATTAAGGACATTCTAATAATTTATTTAAAACGTATTTTTGTAATTAATAATTTACCTGAAGTCTACAGAGTGTCCCAAAAGGTGTCTCCATACACAGGGGAAATTACCACTTTT